GTTTTTTGTTGTTGTTTTTTCAAGACAGGGTTTCTCTGTGGCTTTGGAGCCTATCCTGGCACTTGCTCTTGTAGACCAGACTGGTCTGGAACTCACAGAGATCCGCCTGCCTCTGCCTCCTGAGTGCTGGGATTAAAGGCGTGCGCCACCACCATCTGGCAACATGTTTCTTCTTTATGAAACCCTTTTGGGGGATGAGGATGAGTAGGATCATTACATAATAGAAGAAAGAAGGGAAGCTAACACACACTGTAACTAGTTCAAGCACTGTGCCCTGTGCCTTTGTGGAGTCTCTGCCAATTGTTATACTCCTCCCGATCTGTTTTTATACAGCTCCTGGAGTGATATTTCTAATTGAAAAACTATGCCAAGTTCCTTTAATGGTTGTTGTTAGAATTTGGATTAAGGAGATATTTTCATATTTCAGAATTTATACATATATGGTGTGTGCCTGTGTGGATGTGTAAGAGAAAGCATGTGTGATCATGTTGCATCTCCTTACCTTACGCCCTACTGTCCTTCTTCTCGTTCAAAGCTGAGCTTTCACTTGTAATGTGTTATCCTGCTTCCATCTTAGTGCACATGTGCTTCCCACCCCACCCCACCCCGTGTCACACCCTGTGTCACACTTTAATGCTTCCCCCTTCTTCAGAAGATTTATCCCTAGGTGTTTTTATTAATTACAGTTGTTCTTAGGCAATGTAATGTATTGACCCTCTCAGCCTTTACACCCTCTCTTCTCCCTGTCATCCCTATTCTCACCCCCTACCCCAATTTCAACATTCATGTCTATTTATATTACTTTTCTTTGCTGTAATTGTACGCTTGTTTCCTTCCCAGGAGTCTGTAAGTTCCATGTCACATGGAGTCTAGAACGTAGTGGGTATTTGATAAGTCATTTTTGAATGAACTGTTTGTCTTATAGCTGTGAAAAACAGACCTATGATCTGCTTTTCTAATTGCTTCCAGTGTGGTACAGGTCCTGCTTGCTGCTGGAGCTGACCCAAACCTTGGGGATGACTTCAGCAGTGTCTACAAGACTGCTAAGGAACAGGGAATCCATTCTCTGGAAGGTAAGGTTGGGCTACCCCACTGCTCTGGGTGTCTGCATTTGTGGCCTCCATCAGCTTTGCTCTGTGTCAGCAGCTACTCAAGGATATTCCAAAGGGCTTAGAGGAGATGCCGTTCATAGTTCCTTTCACCTCTTTGAAAGTGATGGGGAAGAGCTATTGGAGCCTGAGTTCATGGCCTAGTTGAGGTGGGGCACATTTCACCTGGCCTCCTGAGACTGGGAGCCTGAGGAGCAAGCAGTGGAACAGATTGCAGTGACATGGTTGAGGATTCTGCATGGAATGTGGGCTTGCTCCTTTCACTTCCTACAGACTTACCTGCCCCAATACTAGAACCTACTGCCGTGGTCCCCTTAGCCATAGAGGTCTCTAAGTACAACTTCGAATATTGCTTTTTCAGTATGTGGTCTGATCTCTAGGGCTGGCCCTTTGCTTTGCTATGACCTAGGGCAAGGAACAGATCTTTGTGCTTTGATGTTCTCAGGGCTGTAAAAATGGGCTTGTTGTTAATACCTTGTGGGTATGTGGGTGATTATTAAATATAGAAGAGGTGTTGTGGCACCTGTCTGTTGAAGAGAACCAGGTCAAATCAGTCTGTGTTGTCTCTGGTTAGTAGGTCTTCAGAAATGAACTTGAAAAGAATGTAGGTTGCATTGACTACAGACTAATGTATATTTTCAAATGTATATCTTATATCTGAGCTTTTGCCTGTGCAAACTGCCACTGCCACTGCCTCCTGACTATTGTCAGCCATCACCCAGACAGACTGTTATTCCTCTGAGATTTGGTGACAGGACAACTTAGCAGTGGCTGCTTTAGATAGAGTCAGTATTAGTAAGAGCAGGACAGTAGCCCTGCTGATTGCCTTAGAAGTCAGTGCTTGAATCCTGGAGGAGATTCGGCATAGAGACTCTGCACGCAGCACTCTGAATGAGTGAAGTGAGACTGACGGCTCCATGGTGGCCCAGTGCAGAGGTTTTGTTGCTGCCCCAGAGAGAAAGTTTCTCAGATCAGTGGTATGAGGGGAGCATCCAAGAGCATCAGGGCACTATGCCCATGTGGAGTGTGAAGTTACCCTGCCCACAGCTGCTCTTCTAAACGCTCCTTAAATCTTGGCTCTTTTGTGGTTATTTGAACTCATGCCTGCCCATATGTCTTTTCTCTCCTTCCCAGCTGACAGTTCCTTGTGTAGGCCATGACCTGTGCCTCTGTGAGTTTCCCTGAGCTGACAGAGTGTTCCCTTTATACTTCAAACAGAAGGGAAGTTCAGGAGTACCTAACTTGCCATATATTTGCTGCTTTAAATGGACTCAATTGATGGGCTATCTCCTGTCACTCAAACACAGCTTTCTCCTTGAGTCTACCAGCTGTTTGGGTGCTCTCACCAGAAAGCAGAGACTTTGTCAGATGGGGCGGGGGGGGGGGGGGGGGGGGGGGGCAAGAAGGAGTGGGGATTCTTGAATGCTCTGAGAATTTTAGCAGATTTCACAGAATCACAGTCCAGCTTTTGCTCTCAGCCTGGTGGCTTTGTGTTCTAATGTTTCTTTGTAGGTTGATGTTCAAATTCATTCTAGATCAATACAATAGAGGTCAACAGTTGGGTTTTTGTTTTGTTTTGTTTTGTTTTCCTGGTAATAGCCAAATTGTGTAAATTTCAACTTTATGGACCACTTGGTCTTTGGTGTGACTACTTAGCCTGACTCTTCAGTACTGAAGCAACCATGATGGTATACAAACAGACTTTGTTCATTTATTCCTTTGACCAGTCTCCCTGAGTTCTTTTTAATTCTAATGCCAACCAACCCTCATTGCAGGTAGACAAATAGGTAGGTAGACAGACAATAAAACTATTAGGAAAGGCTGCCATGAAAGAAAGATAAAGTATTAACTATTTCTCATTTTGTATAGCCTGCAGTTACAGTGGGCTTTCTGTAGATTCAGTATTTATTCAATACTACTTACTAATCACATTTCTGTGTGCTGGCACTTTTCTAGGCAGACATACTCCCTACCATCTTGCACTTTTTAGATGAAATGATCATGAGGCCTTTGATGGTTGGGCCCTCCAGCATGTGGCAAGGCAGTTTCCATGTATTGTCAATACCCACAACTGTCATCATCAAGTCCCTTCTATTTCTTTATTTTGTCTACAAATTGAGATTTTTTTCTACCATTTGTTAAAATAAAAAATGTGTCCTACATCCATTATCCTTCCTTATCCTAATGACCTTTGCTTACTCCTGCACATTAAGGACATGTTTTCGGGGAATGTCTAAGGTGCTCAGTAATCATCAAAGTGCTTAAGAAGCTTTAAAAAAAAAAAATGCATCCAAGGGCCAGGCATGGTGGTATACATCTTTAATCCCAGCACTTGGGAGGCAGAAGCAGTTGGATTTTTGAGTTTGAGGCCAGCCTAGTCTACATAATGAGCTCCAGGACAGCCAGGGATACACAGAAAAACACTGTCTCAAACAAACAAACAAATGCATCCTAGAGCTGGAGATACTGCTCAGTTGTAGGGAACTTGCTAGTAGCCCTGAAGGCCTGAGTTCAGTCCTCTGCACTGTTTTTTGGTTTTTGGTTTTTAATTCTAGAATATTGTCAGGAATCATTAATAAACTCAGTGCTGGTAGCTTATAAGATCCCTCCCCTTCATTGACTGCCTTTGTCACAGTTTATTTTCCAAGGTAGGTCTGTTTAGATGTACTTTGTTCTCTGCTTTCTGGCTGAGACTAGGATGCTGACAGTTCATGTATGTCATCTTAGGGCTCTTCTCTAGCTGCCAGGTTAATTATGAGGGTGGCCCAACATGTTTTAGACCACATGTCAGGTTCCAGTATCAAAAAGTTGAATACCCCAGAATCCTTTATCATCATTTTCACCATATTTTCACACCTTTCTCTATTCAAAGACCCCTTGTCTTTTCATCCTTCTGTTAGTTGTCATTGCCTGCCTGCTGTGAGCCAGGCACTGCCCAGCTCTGGGTCACCCTCATTAGTGAGATACAAGTGTGAGATCTCTGTGGTTCATTTTTCTTTTGACTGACTTGACTTTTGTGTGTGTGTGTGTGTGTGTGTGTGTGTGTGTGTGTGTGTGAGAAGAATAAGTCTCAGTATCACAGAAAAGCCACAGACTTAAGGCAGCTAGACAGTCCTTGCTGTCAGAGCAGAGTCAGGACAAAGTTCACTATATTTTATAATTGTTATTTCTGTTGGTCTCAACCTATCCTTGGTACTAAGGGAAGATGGTGGATTATAATTTGTAACCTTGACCCAATTTCCCTAACCCCAGTAGTATACCCTTTGTCTGCCTGTCAGTATCGCTGTGTTGATCTAGATATAAAATAATGTGATGTGTGAATTGCAAAGTTCTCTACAGTTATAATTGCTTATTAGCTCCATTTATTTATAATACAGCTTGCTTTTACTGCATGTTGGGCCCTCTGCCAGATGCTGGGAATATCTAAATGGATATACATGGTCTGGCCCCTTGGCAGTGCTCTTAGCCAAGTAAGATGGACCTCAGCAAGGAGTCACACTACAGACTAGTAAAGCAAAGGTAGCTAGCTTATGAAGAATGTTAAGCCGCACAGAATGAGGAACTGATGGCCTTTTTCTAAGATCAGGCTGTGTCTTGGACATGTCATTGGGTGAGTGACTCTGAATTGGATCTTAAGGGTGAGTTGGAGATTGTCAGGTTGGCTGAGAAGAACCATCCAGCAAGGAAACCAAAAGAGAGGGGACACTTTGTGTCTACACTGCTTGTCCAGAACACACACGGCCTGAGGAGGGAAGAATGGTCTTTGCTCTCCTCACCGAGGACCTGTCACAGGTCAGCCATGCCTAGGAAAGCCTCTCCCCTGCTTTACATGCCAGCATGGCTCCTTGAGGTAGTCTGCTTATCCAGGTACATTGCAGACTTGTGCCCTCATATCAGGGTTGGTGTTTTGGGGTGATGTTGGGCTTGCTAGTGCAGCTGACCCAGGAGTGCTTGGTATGGAAATCTTCTTGGCCTGGCTATTGTTGCTATTCTCTGCAGCCCTCGGAGTGGTGTCTTCAGAGTCATAATAATGTCCTGAAAGAAAGCTCAGGAGATACTGCCAGTCAACCATGGTTCATCTAAGCCCCATCACTGACTATGTAATCTTGGCAAGTGACATAAAGTCCTTGACTTCAGACTTTTCTGTAATATAGAGATAACAGTACCCAAACAATAACCATATGTATGTAAAAGTCAGTGGCAGTGAAGTTCCTCTATGAAGGTAGGTTTGGGCTCAGTGTAAGTCAGGTCAGCTGATTAGGAAGTAGTGAGCAATATACTAAGGAGCACAAACAGGCTGGATGTCTGCACACTAAGGCTTTCTTAGGAGATCCTTGCCATGCGTCACCAGGTTAAATGGGCCAACATTCTTGGTAACTGTATGATTTCTATGGTTCCGAATGCTCAGCTACACATAGAGCAAGTAATAAACTCAGAGGAAGAGGGATTTGAGCTGCTTCAGGGTTAAGAGGAAGCAGGAAGGAAATACATTCTAAGAAAGGGACACAGATGGGACAAATATGACAGCCAGGTGGGATTTTAGCTGTTCCCTGCCAGTTCATTCCCTGTCTTGACCACATTCCCTTCAGAGCCTCAGCCTACCTGCTCACTCTAGGAGACTTCCACTTGTGGCTGGGCAGTGGACTCCAATCCTCAGGTGGAGCAGACATTAAATTAGCTGTAACAGTAAACAAGTCGCCCAGACATGGATGCCTCGGGCTGCTTATAAGTAATGGTTATAAACATCCAGTGTCTGGTGCTGTCAGAAATGCAAGCGAGCACTCCAAGTGCCTCTCATATGTACAATTAAAACAATAAAACATGGTAGAAACGTGGCCAGAACAGGCTATAAGTCTCAGCTCCGAGTGGCAGCTGAATAAAGATGAGTCCTGAAGAACTGGGTTGTCATAGGGCTCTTCTAGGGTAAAAGCTTGTCAGACTGGCCCTACCAGAGCCAAGCTCTC